CCCCCCCCCCCCCCCCCCCCCCCCCCCCCCCGCCCCGCCCCCCCCCCTCCCGATACGCAGCTCCTTTTGATACGGAGCTCCGGGCCGGCATCATGCTGGGTCATGGCGGCTTCATGCTGATCTTCAGCATCCTCCCCCCGGCGGCGGTGCGCATTCTCCGCCTCGCCACCGGCATGCAGCAGGGGTCCGACAGCTCGGACGAAGCCGGCGGCGGGGGCCTGGCCGATTTTGACCCCGACGCCTCGGGGCCGGACCCGCAGCAGGCCCCGGGCGGCGGCGGCGGCGGCACGCTGTCCGGCTCGCGCGACTCGCTGGCCCGCGCGCGCGCCTCCAAGTCCGCCAAGATCGACGCCTCGCTGGACCAGCTCCGCACCGGGGCCGGCCTCGGTGGCATCCGGGGCATCCTCTGCTCGTGCGTGCTGCTGGCCCTGTACATGGTACGATGCAACGGGCCAGGTCTGCCTGCCCCGGCGGCACAAGTGCTGTCCCTCTTCCCCCCCCCCCCCCCTCCTCGCGTGGCACTCCTCCCCGGGGCTGGCTTGCCAGCGGTGCCCGGTCGTCGGCCATGACTAACCTCCCTGCCATGGGGCGCCGGCCCCCCTGGGCGGCCATTCACCCCCAGCTCGGTCCCGCGGCCCTGCCATTGCACTTCGCGGTCCAGCCACAGGCGGAGCAGGTGCTCGGTCGGCTGCGCGGGCAATTCGGCTCGCACGGGGCCATCATCGGCTATTTCAATGTCAAGTACCACCAGTGGAACCGGGCCCCGGTGCTGGCGCTGGCCGCCCTGGACCGGGTGCTGGACTCGGTGCAGCCGGCCCTCGGGCGGATCACCTCGTCCTTCAGCCGCCGCGACCCCGGGGCCGAGACCCTGCTGGCGGCCATGGCCATCCGCGATGTGTCCCTGTGGGAGCGCATCTGGACCCTGGCCGCGTGCCACTTCTCCGGCGAGGTGGTGGCCCCGGCGTCGCGCGGCTCCGGCCCCGGCCAGCCGGCCCTGCTGGCGGCGTACGAATGCTCGGTGCGGCTGTTCTACGAGAGCACCTGGAGCCGGTGTGTCTATTCCTACCTGGCGGCGGTGTGCCTGGCGTGTTTGCCGGACCCGGCCGGGGCCAATGCCGCCATGGCGTACCGGCCGCCGACCAAGCTGCTGGACCGCCATGGCCCGGTGTTCGACACGCCGGTCCAGTGGCTCGAGCGGTCGACCGCATATCGACAGAAGTTCGCCGGCCGGAGCCTGGCCTTCGAGAAGTTCGTCATTCGCCGGGGCCGGTCATTGTTGAAGGTCCTCCGCCGGCCGGCGGAGGCCGGTGGCGCGGGCTTCTTCCGTCTGGATGCCGGGGCGGCCCGGCCGTCCGATGCCCCGGCCGGGCTCAGCTACGCTGCCATCTGCCTGGTGGAGGTGATGGCCCTCTTCGGGTGCGTGGCAACAGGGTGGGGGGCTCCCCCCCCCCCCCCCCCCCGCCCCCCCCTCCCCCCCCCCCCCCCCCCCCCCCCCCCCCCCCCCCCCCCCCCGGGCCCGCCTTCTCGCGTTCTTTCCCCACACCCCGCCGCTGCCTCGGAGAAGGGCGACCACTGACGCTTCGTAAAACCCCCATCCGCGACTGGACTCGCCCTTACAACCATCCCCCCCCCCCCGGGGTCGACCCGTGGGTGTGTGTGCATGCGCTCGTTTCAAAATCGCCGGCGGGGGGACAGCTTTATGCCGGGCTTCCTGCCGCTCGAGGCGGTGGCTCGCCTGCAGGAGCAGCTCGAGGGTCCGCATGTCATGCTGGCGGGCCTGCTGCAACAGCAGCCACAGCAGCAGCCACAGCAGCCGCCGCCGCCGCCGCCGCAGCAGCCGCAGGCGCCCTCGACCTGCTCCCCCGATGAGGCCGGCACCTCGCGGGGCCACCTGCGTGATGACTATGCCCGGGTGTCGTACCTCCGGACACTGCTGCTGCTGGAGCAGCTCCGGGCCACACCGGCCACCGGCCACCCGGCCACGGTGGCCGAGTTGACGGTTCGCATCACCGGCCTGCTGCATTCCGTGCGGAAGGTCCTCTCCCGGGCGGACACGCCGTACGAGTTTGCCCTGCTGGCGGCGATGTTGCCGGCGGGGTCGTCATCCTCCGCCGCGGGCCCTGGCCCGGGGGCCGGGGCGTGTCCCATCGATCGGGAAGTTCGCGCCATGGCGGCGGCGGCGGCGGCGGCGGCGGCGGCCCAGCCGGCCGAGGCCCCCAGCCGTGGCAAGGTCACTGCTCTGCTTCAGCCGGCCCTGCTGGTGGTGCCCGTGTATGAGGATGACTACCTGGTCGGGGTGCTGCGACAGGCGGCCAGCCAATTGCACATCACCCTGGCGCAGCTGTCCCTGGACGGGGCCGAGCCCGGGACCGTCGGCGGCGGCGGCGGCGGCCAAGCGACCGCCCCCGGCCTGCTGGGGCCTTTCCACGCGCGACTGGCCCTGGACCACGCGCAGCGGGCCAACGAGTGGGCCGGCCGGCCGGCCGGCGGCAAGGCCGTCAATCGCGACTTGCGAGTGGTCAGCCTGCGGGATGTTCTCAAGTCCGCGGGGCCGATGGCCGATGACATGGGTCCCGAGGCAGCGGCTGCCGCCGGAGGGGGGGCCGCCTGCTCCTCGGCAGACGGCAGCCCCGGGCCCGGGCCGCTGGCGGCGGAGTCCAGTCCGGCCGGCGCACCGATGGTCAAGAAGCGGTCCTTCCTCGGGGGCTTCCTCGGGACGGCCATCGGCGGGTTAAGCTCGGCCGTGGCCAGCATGGCCGGCGTGTCGGCCGGCAAGATGTCCCTCCACGCGCGGGTCAGCGTCTGGTGCAAGTGGGCCATGCGCGATCTGGCCGACGGGGTGTATGGCTCGGTGTCCAAGAGCCTGCTGGTGTGAGCAGCGCGCGCGCGCGCGCGTGCGTGCGTGTGTGTTTCTTCTCCGGCATCCGGGCGGGGGCTTGGGACAGGCGGGCAGGGGGGCCCGCGCCCGGCCCCGGGGGCCCGCGCCCGGCCCCGGGGGCCCGCGCATGTCCCTCCCCCCGCTCGTTGGCTCCGACCTGCCTCGCCACCACCGCCATCACTACTGAGCTGCCCCGGGGGCCTTCCAAGTACGGCGTCTGCGGCTGTCTCGGCTGCCCGGTGTGCGTGGCCCTCCCCCTTCGCGCGAGGTCGCAGAGAGCGGGACGCGGTCAGGCGGAGCCCGGAAGAGGAAACCGAGCGCGGCGGCCCTTGCAGCAGAGCCAGGAGGCACGCCTCGCCCTCCCCCCAACGTCTCTCAGCGGCACACAGATGCACAATAGACAAGAGAACCATCACGCGTAGATGCGTGCGAAAGGGCGACACCGGCACAAATGCGAGGCGGGGGTGTATTCATGCTTGCGCCGGCCCCCCCCGCACCCCCGCCTTCTCATCCGGCCGCGGGGGAGGAAGGGTAGGGGAGAGAGAGGGACGGGGGAGGGAGGGAGGGGGATGCGCGCAGGGTCGAGATGATACGGCCGCGGAACAAGGAAGAGCCAAGGGGGCGCGCACAGTGTCGGGCACTTACTCCGGGCGGTACTTCATGGTCTCGGTGTTGAAGCCGACGGCCGGGAAGCGGCGGGCGAAGGCGATGACCTCCTCGCGCAGGGGAGCAACGCCGGGGTGGCCCTCGCCGTTGGGGCCAAGGTGGGCGCGGAAGTCGCGGAACTTGGACCCGGCCGGCAGGCTGGCCTGGACCTCGGCGGCGATGGTGATACCGCGGTGGAGGAACTGGGCGATCTGCTTGAAGTCCTCCGGGCTCAGACCGCGGGTGGTCATGGCCGGGGTGCCGACGCGCAGGCCGCTGGGGACGAGGGCCGAGCGGTCCTTGGGGACGGTGTTCTTGTTGGAGGCGATGTTGACCAGCTCGAGGACGCGCTCGGCACGGGCCCCATCGACGCCCTTGTTGGACAGGTCCAGCAGGAACAGGTGGTTGTCGGTGCCACCGGAAACGATGTCGTAGCCGAAGGACATCATGTCCTGGGCGAAGGAGCGGCTGTTGTCGACGACGAGCTTGGCGTACTCCTTGAACTCGGGGCTCGCGGCCTGGGCGGCGGCGGGAGGGGACCCGGGGTCGGCAGGTGTGCGGGTGTTTTTGTTTGCGTGTCGCCAGGTGAGCATGCATTTACGGGGGGGGG